TCAAGAGGAGGTTAGATAGGCATCTGGATGGGGTCATCTGAACCCAGCACACTTTCCTGCCTATGCAGGGGGTCGAACTCAATGATCTATTGAGGTCCCTTCTGACCCTAACATCTATGAATCTATTAATATATTTACTAATTAAAAATGGCTTATAAATTCCTGGGCCAATGATCCAACTCATGCTGAAATCAGGATTTAAAGTCAATCTCTGATTGACTTTGTTGTGAACTAAACTGGACCCAAAGTCAGTAGATAAAGATGGTGCTAAAAGATGGAAGTGAAGAGCATGGGTTCAATTTATGTAGCATTCAGAAAAGGAAGGGAAAAGCAAATTAAGGTACATTGCCAAAGTTGTGTGGGAGCTGAGACTGGAACAGCCACAGATGTTGGTCTGAGCTAAGTTAAGAAAACAGTGAATATTTGAAAGGAATATGAAGCTGAAAAAACTTTGTTCTGTGCTTACATAATACAAACAAGGTTACATAGTTTCCTTGATTTTCTTCAATCTCTTTCTGAAAATAAGTTTGCTTTTGGGCCAAAGACAAGTGTAATAAATTTCATATTTTGTTTTTTGCCTGCAAAAGTCATATTTAATCTTGGACTAATGACAGTTTGAAGGTCCAGTGTCTTGCAAACGCTGAAGGCTAGAAAAAAAACTTTAATCTCCCTGAAAGCCAGGGGCACTCGGAGGCCAGTGATAGGCAGTAGAGGTGTAGGCTGGCAGTTTTTTGCCCTGGGCTGCTGCCAGAGATGACAGGGTGGCAACAGCCGGGGCTGCTATTTTTGTTCCCCTTTTTTTAGGTTAACACCCAGAGTTGGTGCCCTGCTATTTGCCCCCCGCCTCCCTTAATTATGCTACTGACAAGAAGCATCTCCAGCCTCAGAGCTGCAATATTATAAAATTCGTTATATTTTCTTTGTTTAAAAAATAATACTAATTTTAATAATAATACTGATTTTTCTACCTCTCCCTGGTTCAGATAACTGTTTGCTTCAGCTGCTATGATTCATGGTAGCTTAAGATTATTTGAGTTTACAAGCACAATACAAGTGAGAGAATAGTATAAGAAAAAAAGAAAATAAAAAGGTACTTCTCATCTCTGGAACAGTTGTCACAGGAATGCAGAGCTGGCTGCATATGTGGCACCTGTTCTCCAAGGTGCCTACTTAAATATGTTAAAAGACATATCTGTTACATTAAATGGTAATATTCTTTTTTCATGTTGTTATTCTCATAAAAATAGCATGCAGATGCAAAAGGCTGGTCAAGAATAGGAGGTGTGGGGATATGCAATGTTTGTATATGTGAAAATCTCCCCATTGAGATGTGCCCCTCTCCACAAAATAATTTGAGATCTAAAATTTTAATAGGTAGACAAGGTTCTTTGAGTAAATCTGATATCTTTTATTTGACCAACTTATACATACCCTGTGATACCCTGGTGACTAATGAGTAGGATAGTCAAGTCCTGTCCCAAACATGTACCAGTAAATTCTTCAGATCACCACCCCTCCCCTGGCTGTAGGTAGATTAGATGGATGACAAGTCAGAAATAGTAGTCATAACATTTCCATTATTAAACCTTTCCTTGTGGGATATGCAGAGCTGATTTTATTGATATCAAAAAGAAAAGACCACTGCAGTTAAATGAGATTTTGGGTTTGAATTTTAAGTGGAATTTTCTCTGATTTCTTACTGGATGAAAACAACATCCCAGAAAACTGAACAAATTTTTCTCTTTAATTCTACAGGCAAAGAAGCACTTCAGAACTGCATGTATTATCCTGCTGCCAGCAGAGGTAGTGAAAGTAAGAGCTTGCTGCAATGTTGCCTGTCATCCTGCTCTATGTATTTTTCTAGGCAGAGGTGCTGATTATACATACCTTGTTTGCCATTAGAACCTGAGAAAACAAATCCATCTATAAGATACAAGTGCCAGTTACTTGTCTGGGAAGTTTATTCCCTAATTTCTATTTAGCACTTGACAGGGGGATGTTGTGCCACCTGCAAAATCTCCTCTGTCCCAGACTATGCCAGCTACAAGCAATTTCACTCAGACTCACTGGGAGTCACTCACAGCTTGTGCTGGGAAAACTAGAACTATGAAACAAAGCACTTTGGGCCAAATTCTCTTCTGGTATAAATAACTATAGCACTATGGACTACACCAGGGGACAAGTTGGCCCAGAGACAGCAGCCCCTGTCTACATTCTTGTTTGTATTTTACTGCGCCCACTCTAAACTCTGGTTAGTATTATTTCACCCTGTACTTGAAGCCTTAATCAGCCTTTATGTTTACACAGAACTCAATTTATTTCAATGGGTGTTACTTTCTGTGGTTAAATGGCATGTTAAGGCCCCGCCCCATCAGTAAATTTGAAAGTGGAAGTACAATTGCTATTACACTCTGGCCCTAATGCTACTTTTTCCTTTGTCTCTTTCTCTGCTTGAGTATATTCAAAGAGTTTTGTGTACACTTTTTACTAGTACTGTTCAGTACTTGTGAAGCACTACAGATGTGCCTAGAACTTTACAGAAAATAAGACATGAGAGTCCCCAGCTAAGGAGCTTACAATACTAAAGACATGGAACTTGAGCATTAAGTCACCAGGTTTGCTTAGCAGGACTTGGAGGATTGGACCAAAAGAAATCTCATGAGGTTCAATAAGGACAAGTACGAAGTCCTGCATTTAGGCTGGAAAAATCCCATGCACCAGTACAGGCTGGGGACCGACTGCTAAGCAGCAATTCTGCAGAAAAGGACCTGAGGGTTACAGTGGACAATAAGCTGGATATAAGCCAACAGTGTGTCCTTGCTGTGAAGAAGGCTAATGGCATACTGGGTTGCATCAGCAGGAGCACTGCCAGCAGGTCAAGGGAAGTGATTATTCCCCTCTATGGGGCACTGGTGAGCACACATCTGGAGTACTGTGTTCAGTTTTGGGCCCCCCACTACAGAAAGGATGTGGAAAAATTGAAAAGAGTCTAGTGGAGGGCAGCAAAAATCGTGAGGGGGCTGGAGGACATGACTTCTGGGAAGAGGTTGAAGGAACTGGGCTTATTTAGTCTGCAGAAGAAAAGACTGATGGGGGATTTAATAGCAGCCTTTGATTACCCGAAGGGGGGTTCAAAAGAGGATGGAGCTAGACTGTTCTCAGTGGTGGCAGATGACAGAACAAGAAGCCATGGTCTCAAGTTGCAGCAAGGGAAGATAAGGAAAAACTGTCTAAGTAGGAGGGTAATAAAACACTGGATCAAGTTACCCAGACAGAGAGCATTCTT